AAATAGAGTTACATTAAATAACATAGCAATATATCAGTGTTATGTGAAAATCATCTGATAAAGTTGTTTAGAAAATCTAGCTTACTATTCAAAACATTACACATTTTTTTTAATGTTTTGATTTAAAAGGGTTCATGACTGCAAAACCATGCTCCCAATTTATAATTTTCAGAGAAATTTCCAATTTTGATTTTTTGTTAGGAAAATGTCAGAATAATTCCGTATTATTCATATTCTAACTCCAAACTCCCAGATAAAACAACAACAGCTAGTAGCTATTGAATGTGGCACTGCCACATCTATTGATTTTTATCAACCTCTTCACTTTACAGACAACCAAGACTTTCAGGAGTTAATTCACTTGCCCAAGACAAACACAGCTGTGGGTGAGCTAAGACTCTTTCAGGCCAACAAAGCCCATGAAATTTCGCCTGCACCACGACGCATCACGAAGCATAAAGATGGTAAACACTAAAACACTTTAAGAGACTGTTATTATAAATGCACCTTAGTACATTAGCACTTTACAAAAATATAGAATAATACTGCACATTCCTGTTTTACACTACACAAAGCAGATAAAAAAGACAAGACTTCAATCATTAGAAAAGCATAAAAACCACCTTTAAATTATAATTTTTACAAACTACCCCCCTCAAAAGTAAGAATGTAAGCTGAATCTTAAGCCTAAATATTTTTCTTAGTGGTTTTGGGGCTGGGGTAGCTCAGTGGTACAGTGCTTGCTTAGCATATGCTAAGCCCTGGGTTTTATCTCCAGCAAGAAGAAAAAGGGGGAGAAAAAAAGTATTTTCATTAGAAGAGTATCACTACCCAGGGGCGAAAGTACCCTCTGCTGAATGGGAAGCCTCGAGTCATCAAAGATGTTGCAACATTTAATACCAAATGTCCAAACTACCTACAAAATGTCTCAGAAATAATGACACCACTATAATTTCATCTTGAAGGAAGTACTGTTTTCAAAATATTCTGCTCAAATATAAACTTATAGAACCATTTCAAATCAAAGAAAGGAGGGAGAATGTGATGAGAAGGAAAACATACATCCCCTAACCAAGTACTACTATTATTACTCATTAAGAGTGTGTGTGTGTGTGTGTGTGTGTGTGTGTGAGTGAGAGAGAGAGTGAGAGAGAGAGAGAGAGAGAGAGAGAGAGAGAGAGAGAAAGAAAGAGAGAAAGAGAGACTGCCTAAGTGTTAAGTTTGATTGTCATTATTCTGTAGACTTACCTAGATAACTATCAAAGACTGCTTCATGTCCTGCTGTGTAGATATAAAGAAAAGCATCCAAGTCTTTCTTATCCAAAACCTAAGGTTTAAACCTCTGCTGGGTTTTCCTTATCAGGAAATATGGGTAAGAATCCTTCAGATTCAAAAATGTTAGGACTCTCTAAAAACACAGTCAGAAGTAAATCAAAATGGAAAAATTCAAATGTTTATATTTGCAAAGTTCACCCTGTAATTTCATTACACATAGCTGAGCCAAGTCATTCCCTACATATTTACACAGAACTACATGCTGCTGCTACTGTCTACAGAAAATAACAATAATGCAAAACTCAAAACCCCTCCTATGAGAAAAGGGCAAAATAGAAAACTTTTCCTTTACTTTATGTTACGGTACTGCCAGGAAACATACTTAAGATACTAAGAATTAATGTTGTATTATAAGTCTATCAGTCAAACAATGTGATGCATATAATAAACATACAAACAATAATATAGACAAATCAAGTGATTATTAATGAATATTTAATATTTCTGAATTTCAAAAATTACATATTAAAGACAATTATTATGCTTATACAATTTTTATATTAAAACACTCCTGAAATTAAAGAGCTTGACATGTCTCCTTTACTTTATTCTTTAAAGCAATTCATAAAATACAATTGCAATTTTATTGTACCCCAAATAAAGTTAACTCAAACCTTCTAATTTAGTGGAAGAAATATTACAGAAAATGAAATCAATTATCTATTGCTTAGCATGCATATGCAATTTATTCTGGTCTTTGCTAAGATATTGCCAAAAAAAATAAATCTTGGAAAACAAACTTTCTATACTATATAAAATTAATTCCAAAAAGAACACAAAACACAAATAAGTGAATCCACTATAAGGAAAACAAAGGTCATTTAACAACTTCTACATACACTATAAAAATTAAGAGCAAATAAAAATTTCCAAAGTCTACACCTAATTGTACTTCTTTACTATTTTATAGATGGATATGGAAATCTAATTTGTGGAATATTTTCCAGAATATTTACCCAGCACATACTTTCTACACAATAATCATTTTTAATCAGTCTAGAACTATGTTTGTGGGTGTCTAATCCTGTTGTTTTCTAATTCTCCAATGCTGGCAAAATATATAAATTCACAAAAAATATTATTCTTGGAAAGAAGAGTTCTCAGAAAACTTTTAATACTACCAGACTTTGCTTTTAAAACTGAGAAAAAGATACATATACAGACAATAAGCATGTGAAAAAATATGTTCAATATTATTAATCATTAGGTAAACACATATCACAAGCACAATGAAATGCCACTTTGCATCCCATTTTTAGGAAAAAATAAAAAACAGAAAATAACAAGTGTTAGTGAGAAGATGTGGAGAAATTAAAACCCTTGTGCATTGCTGATGAGAATGAAAAATGGTGCAGCTATTCTGGAAAACCGCATGGCAAAAAATTAAACATGATCCAGCAGTTCTATTTCTAAGTATGTTCCCAAAACAAATAAAAGCAGGAACTTGCACAGATATTTCTACACCCATGTTCACGGTAGCATCATTCATAACAGCCAAAAAGGTGAAACCAACCTAAATGTCCACCAATGAAGAAATGGGTAAACAAATAGGGGATATATACATATACTGAAATATTAGTCAGCCTTAAAAAAATAAAATAAAATTCTAGCCCAGCCTCATGGTGTAACACCTATAATCCCAGGGACTCAGGAAGCTGAGGCAGGAAAATCACAAGTTCAAGAACTTCCTCAGCAACTTAGCGAGGCCCTAAACAACCTAGTGAGATCCTGTCTCAAAATGAAAAATAAAAAGGACTGGGAATGTATCTCAGAGGTAAAGTGCCCCCAGGTTCAATCCCTAGTACCAAAAATAGTAATGATAATAATAATGAAATTCTGACATATGCTGCAGCATGAGTAAACTTTGAGAACATTATGCTAAGTGAATTACGCCAGTCACCAAAGGACAAATATTGCATGACTCCACTCAGAGGAGGTACCTAGAGTAGTGAAGTGGTTGCCAAGAGCTAGGAGTTAGGGGAAAACAATTTAGTGTTTACTGGGTAAAAGAGTTTCAGTTGGGGAATATGAAAAGGTTCTGAAAATGGATGGTGGTAATGGTTACACAACAAGATTAGTATAGTCAATGCCACTGAACTGCAAACTTAAAAATGGTTAAAATAGTACATTTTAGATTATACTTTACACAATTTTAAAAAAAGGGATAACACAGTATTAATACATGTCCAGGTTTTTCTCATGCATGTCTCTTTCACTTCCCATAAAACCAACTCCTTGGCTATAAGTGGTCAGTTACATTCTAAATTACAAGTTTACCATGAGCCCTGAGAAATTAATATAATAATTAAGTTTTAAAATTACTTCTCCTCCTAAGTTTAATCTAGGCTTCCGAAAAATAAACCTTCACCAGATCTAGGTGACCATAGCTATTACATGTCTACTTCAGATTCAATGTTACTATAGAATGCAATGTGTCTCCCAACTGTGAATTTCAAACATGGGTGGTTTTTTAATATTTATTTTTTAGTTGTAGTTAGACACAATATCTTTATTTTATTTATTTTTATGTGGTGCTAAGGATTAAACCCAGGGCTTGCACATGCTAGATGAGTGCTCTGCCACTGAGCCACAACCCCAGCCCCAAACATGGTGGTTTTATCCCAGAATTTTTCCATAATTTTCCTTCTGAAACCTCATACAAACTATTGTCATTCTGGTCACCAAAATCTTTATAGGCAAAAGCCTTCTAAAAGATAGATAAATAGTCTTTACAATATTAGTATTTATTTAGTTTCCACTGACTACAAATATAAAAACAGAAGTTTGAAATATCCTAAACAGTAAGGATTCTTTCCAGTCACATTCCAGTTTTTCTTATAATACCATCTGAAAACAAATGTGAATTAATTAACTAGTAATTGTCTGATTTCCTCTGAACCACCAAGTCCATTGTGTTTTTCATGTCCCCTTCCTCCCTACTCAAGTATTCAGCAGACAAAATTCCATCTTCAAAGGTAGATTCTAAGAGTTTCCACATTATAACAGCCATTGTTCTAATCATTTCAAGTAACATCTATTCATAAACATGAGGCAAATAGATGAAAATTTAAAGAGACAAACAGTATCCATATACTAAAACAAAAGTTCAAAGGTCTAATTTAGAAAAATAACAGTTCTTAATGGACTCCAAAAAAACTAATAGGCAAGTATGATCATCATATACTTTGTCTATTTTTACTCTCGGAAAACAAGAATGTATTACTCAATTGTAAATTTGGCTTTTAAAAATAGATTTTTTTCAAAACATTTCATATAAATTATCATCTCCTTTACTTCCTAAGACAGAACAGTTTGTAGTTGTCATTGTACATAGCGTATCCACCTAAATGTTAGCAAAAGAAAAAAAAAAAAACCACAGACCCAGATTCTGCCATTTAGTTTTTTAACTTAGTGTGAGAGTCTCCGCATAAGTTTCTTTTCATTTGTCCACAGCTATTTAGATTGAATTGAGCTCTTTAAAAAGGCAAATAGGTATACTTTATACCTATTTTATACTTAAACCACAGTAACTTTGATATATCTGAAGCTACCTATCCTTTCAACTTGCAACACAGAATTTTAACAGATATAAAACTGTACAAAAAAAGGAAATTATATAGATAAAAAGATTCACTGAAAAAGAATCACCTGGTCATAAGCCTTACCTTTTAGCAGCGGCAGAGGTGTTAATTCAATAGGCTTGCCTTGAGACCTAAACTGTGAGGAACTTTGTGACCTCTTCTGTCTGGCTTTTCTGACGGACTTCCGAGAAAATCCGTCTACTTTATCCACTGATGGAGGAGTAGTTGGTGCTGAGGACATATCCCTACTGAAGAGAAAGAGGTATCATAAACATATTCCCAAGGTGGAAGCATACATGTGAGTTACACAAATTCTAAAATTCTCACATATAATAATCATGAAAATAAGAATGTGTGCTAAAGTAAGTAAATAAGCCAGACATGGTGAGGCAAGCCTATAATCCCAGCAACTGGTAAAACTGAGGCAGGAGGATCACAAGTTCAAGGTAAGCCTCAATAACTCAGCAGGGCCCTAAGCAACGTAGCAAAATCCTGTCTCAAAATAAAAAATAAAAAGGGTTGGTATAGCTCAGTGATAAAGTATCTCTGGGTTTAAACCCTAGTACCATTTAAAAAAAAAAAAGTAAATTAATTAATTAAAGAAAGTTTTAGGAAGATGAGAAAACATAAGAATTTGATGAAAAAAGATTACTATCATATAAACAATATCATAACCCAAATGCTTTAACTACTTCACTCAAAGAAAGCTCTTCATCTGATTCTTGAAGTAATTTTGGAGTTATTCTGCAGCTGAAAAATCCCCACAGATATATTTTCCTAACATTTTTAATATTATGAATAGACTCTGGGGCTGAAACCCTTACTGTACTTCAAGAATTTACACCAATGTATCACAGCAACGTGCATTTACAATTACTGAAACTAAGCATGACTTTTAATACAATGTGCAGTGTTTGCTATGATAAACCACTACACTGCAAATGAGGACAGACTATATTTCTTTAAATACCCAAAAGGCCACTACACTGCAAATGAGGACAGACTATATTTCTTTAAATACACAAAAGGCATAATTAAAATCATTTTAAAGAATTCTTCTTTTTGAATGAATCCATCTTAAGTTATTAAAGCATAATGATCAAAACCACTAGAAACCACACACCAAGGTGAACTAAAAATATAACTTCACAATCTTCTTAGAAAACCAAGTTGAGTTCCCTTGAGGTTTAGACTTTGAAGTTCAAATATCAATTTCATTCTATCAAACTGATGGAACTGAGTAGTTCTTTTACTTTTTAAACCCTCTCAAATAATTAAAATAAAGGCTATTGAAGGCTATTTCCTAAAAGTAACAACCATTACACTCACTTTCATTCACCAAGTTAAACAGATGCCATCATCTCCATGGCACTGAGGCTCCATGCAAGATTAATGGCAGACTTGGATAGAAATAAAGCATACAGGGGAAATACTGAAATGTAATTACTCATCTGTCATTCCAATGCATAAGACTTTTTTTTTTTAACTTCTACATATGAGTATGGGAGTTTCTTCCTGAATGTGCAAGACTAAAAAGTTACCTGGGTTACCTGCATTCTGGCAAAGTAAAAATAAAAGCATGGGGGGGACACCTATGAGGTCAAGGTATTGAAATTTGAAGACTTCCTTCATAGTCTTTAGTTCGGAAATGTTTTTAATGTGCCTAACTTATCCTTAAACATAATGTGACATTCAAAATGGAACTGCAAACTATGAATAGTATAGAAAATGTATGCTCACTTTAAAATAAAATGACTGCATCAGCAAAAAGCGACACATCACATTTGTATGTTGTAAATTTAAGGGCGGATTTTCCAATTTCGCAAGTGAATTATTTAGATTTCATTCTAAACCTAACACCAGACTTCTGTTAAATCCTGTTCCTCCATCACTCTATCTCTTCTTTAGTCTTCTCCCATTTCTAAGGACAGTCTGAAGGTAGCTTTTTTTTTTTTTTAATCATTTGCCAATTAGGCCTGCAACCCAGTACAAACGTCAGGATATCAACCCTAAAAAGCCAAGCAGAATTGAATGTAAGGGAACAGCGGGTCCGTGCAAAGCCCAGGGAAACAGGTTTCACCTAAGCCAGGGCGCCTGAAGCTTTATCATCCTCTCAGCAGCGGGCGCGGGGCAGTTCCAAGGCTCAGGATAATCCCGCGAGGGGGTGCGGGGGTTAGCTGTAGGGATGCTCACTTACACCCCAAGCCTTGGAAAAGACACGCTGCTACAGAATCCTCCTCACTACACCAAACCCCCCTTTTTCACCAACCCCGCCAGTGCATAAAGGGGAACAAGAAAACGCCTCCAATCTCAAAAGGTGGAGAAAAAGGGGTGAGGGAGGAAGAGTGAAAGAGGTAGCCTCAGAAACATCTACAGGTAAATCAGACAAGTGGGACCGGCGCTCCCTCTCCCGTACCCCACCCCACCGCACCCCTCGCCTGCCTGGGCCAGGCCTTCTCAAGTCCGGTGCCCTGCAGGTTCCCCAAGAAAACCGAGAGGAGGAACGGAAGCGGGCAAGCCGCGGTGTTGGAGGGACGAAGTTACCTTGAAGCTTCTGGGGAAGAATCCAAAGATGATCTGTGGTTTCGAGGGGCGGGAGAAGGGCGAAGGGGCCGCGGAGGGGGCGAGCGGTGGAACCGGGAGGTGCAGGGGGAAGGGAGGTCCGGGCAGCTGCGGGGAGCCCGGGGCGACGGCTGTCCGGTGCGGCGTCCCTCCGGTTCCGCGGTGGCGGCGCTTCTAGGCCTCAGGGCCGGACCCGAACCTCAGCGCTCCGGCGGCAGCGGCGGCGGCGGCGGCCTCACGATCCTCCCCCGCGGGCCCGTCCCATCAAATCGGCACCGACCCCGTTGCGGCTCCGCCGGTGGCTCCTCGCTCACATTCCCGGCGGGCGGCGCCTCAGCTCGTAGCCCCGGACCCAGCGGCGGCGGCGGCGACGTGGGGAGGGGGGGAGGGGGGGGAGGAAGACTGGATCTGCAGCGGCAGCAGGCAGAGGAGTCGGGAGGAGGAGGAGGAGCCGCTGAAGCAGGAGCCGCCGCTGCCAGAGCCGCCGTTCGCTACCCGCGGTGGGTCCCAGTCAATGCCCCTTTCTCTCTCTCCTATTGTCAATATCACCGGGCGGCTGGGTCCATGGCACACGCTCAACCGAACCTCCTAGCCAGCAGCACCCGCCTCCGACGCCCGCCCACTGGAGACTTCAAACGGGAAGCGAGACCTCATTGGCCGTTGTCTGCCTTCACTCCCCAACCAGCATGTTCGGCTGAGAGCTGATCAGGGACTGGCGGCGGGGGGAGGCGGAGAAACAGGAGGGTGGGAAGAGAAGAGGCCGGGGATTGGGCCGAGGCGTGAGGGACCCGGATGCAGCCGCGAGCTCGGGCCGCGCGGCCGCAGCTTCCGCTAAGCGGCTGGGTGGGCTGAAGGGAAGAAAGTAGGGTGCCGTCACTTTGGCTGGGAGAAGCTCCGTAATTCCGGGAGGTGTGCGACTGGCACATCAGCAAGAGAGGCTCCGTGCAATGGGAGCCTTTGGACTGCTATCCTCTTCAACCGGAGGATTCCGAGGGCCGGGGTGGGCGAGACCCTGGGCCCTGAGTCCGCCCTGTTCAGTAGCTAGCGTGTCCCCTCCGGGCTCGACTTGTCCCATTCAAGACTCAACCACACGCCGCGTAGAAAGCAGTGACGTGCCCCGCCCGCGCTAGCGTGCCACTGCTAGTATAAATGGGTCCCTTGAAGCCCGCTGGGAAAAACCCCAGCCGCCTCTCTCCACAGAACCTTGTAGAAAGAGGCCTGAGCCTGGCACGGGAATTTAAACCCCCAGGGCCCGACCGAGGGTTGGGTAACGCTTTAATTTCTCTCTCACCTCATCTTTCCCTAAATGTCTGTTTTGAATATGGGCTCCCTGAAGCTCCTTGCAAGTCTCCGTGGTGGCCAGGGTTCAGTTAAGGCAGAAGGGAACACCGTCACCAGGCTCACCTCATTGGCCAGCTGGCTGCTTCAGCGTCGGGAAGACCCAACTGCAAACTGTAGGAGCTTTTAATTGGCAAGTGGAGTTCCTAACAGTTTAACCAAGAAGACTTCACCTCTATCCAGAACACGTGATAAAATATTTACAAATGTGCCTGCATCTCTGGTGAACCCTAGGCCAAAATGGTGCATTTCCAGACAATATTCTGGGATTGTCCATCTGTTGGAAGGCATGCTACATACATTTTTTTTTTTTTGAGGCAAAAAAAGAAAGAGATCCTAAATGCGAACTACAAACATCAAGCCGCCAATTGTTTGAAACTCGGACGGTGGGGGAAGGGCAGATAAAAAAAAATAAACATTCACAATTCCTCAACTCAAAGATAACCACTGTAAGCATTTTGGTGTACTCCCTTCTGGAATTTTCTTCCTTTTATGTTACCGTGTTGTTCTGTAGCAAAACTTTCCCCTTCAGTATTATATCATGTTTTCTATACACTTAGGGAATGGAATTATATTATAAAGTTCTGTGTACCATATATACAAATGACAGCCCCCCTCCCCCAAAAAAACACATTTGTGTTTCTCTTGTCAATCTAACAGTCAATTGTTGCAAATTTATATGCCTGATCCAAAAAATGACTCGGGTGAAAAAATGATTTTTGTGTCATGAAAGATAAATATATTCCTGCTTTAAACTGAAATGGGAAATGCCAAAAGGTGAGTCTTAGATGGAAACCGGCTCCCCCTACTGTCTCCAGATGACTGGCCACTGTATAAATTTATGCCCATTTTTGCTCCGATAGTTATGGTTACCAGTAGGCCACATGAAGTATAGAATACCACCAGCCTGTTTGCTACCTTCAAGAAACTTATATTTCCATACCTCAGTCTTCATGAAAGTTCGGTAACTCAGCCAAGCAGAACCTATTTCCTCAATCTCTGATTGAGGGTAAGTGTAGAATTAAAACCAAGAAAGATTTTGAAGCCAACTCAATTTCCCTTGGCAACAGTTGAACCGTTAAAAAGTAGTGCATGTTTGAAATGCTCACAGCTGTTGCTTAGAACATTTCACATTTTGTAGAGTGAGGGTTTTGCTTGCAAATTATGGATCTCTATAAAGACAATTCATTTCAAAGTCATTTCATTTCTATAAAATGGCTGAGCAACTGAAATGAGCAGGGTTTTGGGGTTTGGGTTTTGTTTGTTTTTTGTTTTTTTGGTTTTTTAATAGAAACATCCTTGCCTATGTGATAATTTGTTTTCTGAACCAATAATTTCTTAAGGCAGTCCATGCATCCTAGGGGTGTGTATACTCCAAGGATAGTGCCAAGCAATCCATTTGGGACAGGAGAACAAAAAAAAAAAAAAAAAAGGAATCTTACTTATGCTTAACTTTGCTCTTTAAAAAAAATAGCAT